GCATAAAGGAGGATTTCATCAGTTTTTTCTCGGAGTTTCATCGGAATGGTAAACTGGTGAGGGGTCTAAATTCTTCTTTTTTAGCTTTGGTCCCTAAAAAATTGAATGCTGCGAATTTAAAGGAGTATAGACCCATTAGCTTGCTTGGATGTGTTTATAAATTATTAGCGAAGGTATTGGCTAATAGATTGAAATCGGTGATGTAAGAAATAGTGAGTGAAACTCAATCTGCTTTTGTGGGGGGTCGCCAATTGGTTGATAGTGTATTGGCGCTGAATGAAGTAGTATATGAGATAAAGAACAAGAAACAGCCAGCTTTTGTCTTTAAGGCAGATTTTGAAAAGGCATATGACTGCGTGGATTGGTCCTTTTTATACTGGATGATGGATAGTTTTGGGTTTGGAATAAAGTGGAGAGGATGGATTATGGAGTGCCTTTCAACGGCGAGAACTTCGATTTTGGTGAATGGAAGCCCGACAAGGGAATTTGAGGTAGGTAAAGGACTACGTCAAGGGGATCCTTTATCTCCCTTTCTTTTTTTGATGATCGGTGAGGGGTTACAAGATTTGGTACAGAAAGCAATGGCGGAGGGAATGGTACACGGGATCGTGATTGGAAAGAAAGGGATGACTGTGTCCTTACTTCAGTTCGTCGATGATACAATAATTATGGGCAGAGCGGATGCTGAGAATATACGAATGGTGAAGGATGTGCTAAGATGGTTTGAACTCATGTTTGGATTGCGGATAAATTTTAAAAAGAGCAGTATCTATGGTTATAATGTGTCGGAGGGATGGTTAAAGGGATCAGCGGGGATGTTACGATGTGGAGTAGGTTGAGCACCCTTTCTTTATTTGGGATTACCTATTGGCGGTAAATCTGGAAGTAAGAAGGTGTGGGAGCCGATGGTGAATAAATTTCGTGAAAAGCTTGCTGTCTGGAAGGCTTCTACTCTTTCCTTTGGAGGCCGCCTCACCCTGCTGAACTCAGTACTCTCTGCGTTACCTATTTTTTATATGTCTCTGTTTCTATTACCAAAGTCTGTTCTTGCGGAGTTGATTAGTATTCAAAGGAGATTTCTATGGGGTGGGCCAGGCTTAAATAAAAAGATTTCTTGGGTGAAATGGGAATATGTCTGTCATGATAAGCTGAAGGGGGGTTTAGGGGTACCAGATCTGCTTAGGAAAAATAGGGCATTGTTAGGAAAGTGATGGTATAGGTTAGGGGATGGGGTTGAGAACTTATGGAAAAGGGTGGTGAGGGAAAAATATTATGGAGGTAGGAGCGAGGTTGATATTACAGCGGTTGAGGGTTCGAGGATGTCAAAGCTGTGGAGGGATATTATTAGAATGGGGGGTCAATCTTCGAGACTAAGGAATATGCTGGTGGAGGGCTTCAAGTGGGAAGTGGGGGAGGGAAATAAGGTGGATTTTTGGCAAGAGCGGTGGGTTGGAGATAAAACTCTTAGGGACTTATGTCCAAGATTATATGCACCATCGGTTAAGAAGGAAGGAAAGGTTTCTGAAATGGAAAGCTGGAATGAGGGAAGATGGTGTTGGCGTGTTGAGTGGAGGAGAGGTACTATAGGGCGTGAGAAGGATGAGGAGGTGGTGCTGGAGAAGACGCTGGAGGGTGTGCAAGTGAAGTAGGGGATTGGGGATGTTTGGAAGTGGAGGCATGCGATGGATGGCAGATATGTTGTAAAGATAGCCTACGACTATTTAGATTCTATGGAAGGTGTACTGGAGAACCAGATGTGTAAATTAATATGGTGCAGGTTGGTGCCATCCAAAGTTGCCTTTTTTGAGTGGCGATTGTGTTTAAATAGGCTTCCAACAAAGGAAAATCTTCAAAAGCGTGGAGTGCAATTGCAGGAGGAAGGTATTTATTGTGAATTTTGTAGTGGGATAGTGGAGGAGACTAATCACTTATTTTGTATATGTTATAAAGCGTGGATAGTGTGGGTAGAGGTGTTGAATTGGTGGGGTTTGGAGAGTGTTTTGCCCAATACAGTTGCGGGAGTGGCAGATTTTTTCATAAATGAGTTGGGCAGAACAGTAGGAAAGGAGATGGGCTCTTGTATTTTTCTGGCAGTTGCTTGGTATGTATGGTATAGAAGGAATACTCAGGTATTTCGAGAAGATGAAGGAATCCCAGAGAAAATGCTGGAAAGGGTGCAAGTAAAAACCTTTGTATGGTTAAAGGCTAAAGTGAAGGGATGCGTTTTTTCCTTTTATGAATGGCAAGATAGTCCGATGGAATGTGCAAAGTCTGTCAAACGGCATAAAAGGATGAGGAAGCAATCCTCTAAGGCTGTAGTGGCCCCTAACTAATGGGGGGGAGGTTCACAACCTGCTCTTTTCGTCTGCTGTATGGGTTCTGAAGGACAAGGTGTCGATTGGGTTTGTAGGCTATCATAAGCTGCAGGAAACGGCTTAGTTTTATTTCCTTCTGCTGTAGATTTCCGGATGGCTGTCCTGAGCTTTTGTGTTTTTGATTTAATTGGGTTGTGTATCTTGATTTCACCGGACTGTATTTTGTTTTGGGAGTATTTCTTATGCTCCTTCTCTAATATATATCGTTAGT